AAAATTTTTTGTCAACAACTTGAAAGAATATCACAGGTTTAACTTGACCCTGTTGGAGTGTAACTCTTTCCTACATTCTGATACTTTACTTATTTCAATAGTCCCTCTAGTTTCTGAATAAGAGACATTTGAATGTCAAAAATCTGCCCCTGTTTCCCTCCGTTACTGCTTGACCAGACCCCTGTGTAACATGTTTTGAGTTAGATTTGGGTTTTTTACTGTTGTCAGTTGCGTTGGAGCCTCTTGACCAAATCTCAATTGAAAAAGAAATTCCTAGTCAAATAAATGTTAAATAAAATGTTTTTTGTTTTTTTTTGTATGAACAGGCTTGCCTCTCCATAGAGCTGACCTGTAACCTGGATGGTCAAGAGAGACACCTGCTTGTCTCCATGGAGATAGATACATTTACAGTAGAGCAGGTGGCAAACCCTACATCAGAAAACGTCACCTCTAAACAGCTATTCAAATACATTTGTAAACTAAACAAATGAATACTCTGCAGAGACATCATGCAGGGGGGTTCTACATGTGTGTGCATGGCAGGGAATGCTCCTCAGCTACCATGGAGACACAAGTTTTTAGATGAGAGTGACTGACTAAAAAAAGGCTAGCTCGTGACTGGGCCTGTAACGATAACAGATTTTGCTGGACGATTAATTGACAAAGAATTTATTGTGATAAACGATAATATTGACATTTTGAGACCAATTTCAACTAATATAATGACCATGGAATAAAAATGCAAACACACCTTTCCAAAGATCAATAAACCTTACTTTCTAAAGAACATTTAACACAGGAAGTGTAAGACAAACAAAACAACAGGCCTAAATAAAACAGACTTGTTAACACAGGACTAGCCTAATGTGTCTGGCTCACAACAAGGACTTAACAAAAATGCACTTGAATAAACCAAAATTGCCCTTAAAAGTGATTTTAGTCATTGACTTACATTGGTATATAGTGTCTCGTCTCTCTGTGGCTGCTGCTGTGGCCTCAGCATTTTGGTCATTTAAATGTTCATATGAACCTGCCACACAGGATGCTATTTCACTGTGAGGGAGTCTCTGTCCTGGCTGGTGTCGGTGTTTTGTGGGATTTCAGCAAATTTCAGGTTCTCCTGGGGGCGGGGTGAGTTGTGTCGCTCAGGTTTGGGTTTATATCAGCTGTTGGGGTTTGAGAAATTTTTCTCGTCGTTTGCACTCGCTGCATTTGACCCACGTGACTGTTGAGACGTATCCCACTCACCAGTGTAGATTTGGCATCGTGACTTGTTTTGGCACTCGGTGATGAACTGTTTCGGTTCTGACAGCGGCGCTTGTGTTGCAGCTTCATATTTAGCCGCACAGACAGTGGCGCTTTCTGCACTCAGGCTACGCGTGCATCCACTGTGTTGATAAAGACAGCGCACGTTAGTTCAAGCATCATTACTGTTGTTAAACGAGGAGTCAGAGCGAGAGACGTCTTCTAACATTCACCCTCTTTGAGAGCGACAGAGAACAAGGAAACAAACAAACATGCAAATAGGATTTATCGCAGCCGGAAAAGTGATCGAGCATGTTAAAAGTTATCATACGATTAATTGATTTATTGATTATCGTTGCAGGCCTACTTGTGACTGATTTTATTTGAGAGGTACATTTAACAACTCAGATTGTCTCACTTGTTTATGTCTGGTCAGATCGTGTTGAAATAAAACTCAGATTAAGTGTAATAAATCCTCAGCATGCCTACATTTAGCATCACACTGTGTAAAGCAGTTCTGTAAATGGGTTAAGTACAGTATATGCAGTGATGGTTTTATCACGTTAAGGTTGGCACTTTGAATCTCTTGAAGTTCTTGTCTGTGATTTCCTTGGGCAACACTGTCGGGGTTCCACACGAGTGTAGTTCAAAGCCTGGATACACAGTGAGGGTTCCAGAAAGGGCATCTGACGCAAAAAAAAACCAACAACAACCCAACAACAAATACATGGATACATGAAGCGGTGCACACGAGGAAGCTGATCTGATGACCCCAGAAGGCAAAATCAAAACACATGTATTAAGCATGATCTTGAATATTAATAGTGTACACAATCTGACGCTGCGTATTTCACCGCGCGTCATTTTAAATAAGTTATACCTCTGAACGGGCTTCGCTTTCATGTGCTGTGTTGTTCAAGCTGTGAAACATGAATAAAAAACACCCTAGTCATGTTTATTTCCACATCATTCATAATATATCTATCTATATGCAGTACAAGTACACGTATGGATTGGCCAGTTTAAGTGTACTCGCTCTTTGGTTAATGGCGGTCAGTGGGTGGTTCTGATTGTAGTGTGTGTTTGTGAAATATGTACAAAATTAACGTAGTATATTTTATCAAGTATATAAATCTAGTCCAGGAGTGTTTTTCCATGAGGTCACATGGGAAACAGAAAATATTGTGGAGGCCAAAATACTTAATTCACTTCTGCAGAATATTCATTGTATTTCTTGATAAAAGGCAGTAAATGCATTGTTTTTTAAGAGTTTATGTTATGGTTAAGAGTTGAAAAAGTGAGGCTGCCTTACAAAAAATAACATTTAAAAATTGAACTTCAAATGAACTGTTTGAAACTAATTGTATGTACAGTGTGTGTGTTGTGTGTACAGTGAGTGTGTTGTGTGTATAGTGAGTGTGTTGTGTGTATAGTGTGTGTGTTGTGTGTAGTGTGTGTCGTGTGTATATTGTGTGTGTTGTGTGTACAGTGAGTGTGTTGTGTGTATAGTGAGTGTGTTGTGTGTACAGTGAGTGTGTTGTGTGTATAGTGAGTGTGTTGTGTGTATAGTGAGTGTGTTGTGTGTACAGTGAGTGTGTTGTGTGTGTGTGTGTATTGTGTGTGTTGTGTGTACAGTGAGTGTGTTGTGTGTAGTGAGTGTGTGTGTGTATAGTGAGTGTGTTTGTGTGTGTGTGTGTTGTGTATAGTGAGTGTGTTGTGTGTAGTAGTGTGTGTGTGTGTGTGTGTTGTGTGTGTGTTGTGTGTATAGTGAGTGTGTTGTGTGTGTAGTGTGTTGTGTGTAGTGAGTGTGTTGTGTGTATAGTGTGTGTGTGTGTAGTGTGTTGTGTGTACAGTGAGTGTGTTGTGTGTATAGTGAGTGTGTTGTGTGTATAGTGAGTGTGTTGTGTGTATAGTGTGTGTGTCGTGTGTACAGTGAGTGTGTTGTGTGTACAGTGAGTGTGTCGTGTGTATAGTGTGTGTGTTGTGTGTACAGTGAGTGTGTGTTGTGTGTACAGTGAGTGTGTTGTGTGTATAGTGAGTGTGTTGTGTGTACAGTGTGTGTGTTGTGTGTACAGTGAGTGTGTGTTGTGTGTATAGTGAGTGTGTTGTGTGTATAGTGAGTGTGTTGTGTGTAGTGAGTGTGTTGTGTGTACAGTGAGTGTGTTGTGTGTACAGTGAGTGTGTTGTGTGTACAGTGAGTGTGTTGTGTGTACAGTGAGTGTGTTGTGTGTATATTGTGTTTGTTGTGTGTACAGTGTGTGTGTTGTGTGTATAGTGAGTGTGTTGTGTGTATAGTGAGTGTGTTGTGTGTATAGTGTGTGTGTTGTGTGTACAGTGAGTGTGTTGTGTGTACAGTGAGTGTGTTGTGTGTACAGTGAGTGTGTTGTGTGTATATTGTGTGTGTTGTGTGTATAGTGTGTGTGTTGTGTGTACAGTGAGTGTGTTGTGTGTACAGTGAGTGTGTTGTGTGTATAGTGAGTGTGTTGTGTGTACAGTGAGTGTGTTGTGTGTATAGTGAGTGTGTTGTGTGTACAGTGTGTGTGTTGTGTGTAGTGAGTGTGTGTTGTGTGTATAGTGAGTGTGTTGTGTGTACAGTGTGTGTGTTGTGTGTATAGTGAGTGTGTTGTGTGTACAGTGTGTGTGTTGTGTGTATATTGTGTGTGCTGGTGTTGTGTACTTTTGTGTGATTGCTGCTGTACTTTCCTTTGTCCTGTAGATGATTTTACATCAACCTGGGACTGAAGATAGAAATTAGCTATAATCTTTACATATTTACATTTTTATTGTTCATTAATTTGTGCTGTCCCTTTATAAATAAATAAAATAAGAAAATAAGAAAAACACCTCTAAAATAAAAGCAATGCAGCTTTAGTCCAGGCATGAGGTCAAATTATAAAATATGTTTAATTTATGATTCCAAATGAGCTTAAGTCATTGCCACTACTCTAGAACATTGTTTTCCAAAGACTGGGTCACGATCCTCAGGTGGGTCGCAAGAGATTTTTTCTTCATGTAGGGCGCTCCTCACTTTATCGGCAGCACCGTCTTACCTAACCAATTTTCTGTGGGAAACACTGATTACCGTATTTTCCGGGCTATTAGACGCGGTCTTAAGCCTCCAACCGCATCAAAAAACGACCCACAATCCAGAGCGCCCTATACACGAATCCACTCGGGTGTCCCAGCACGACTTCAGTAAACTACAAAGCCACACCACCCACAGAACACCAACTAATCCTTTAATGTTCATAAAAACTAACAGTTCATTTTATAATCTGGTGTGCTTTAAGTATGAAAATCGATGAGAGAATTCAACATTATTGATATTGCGGCTTGTAATCTGAAAAATACAGTAACACTAATAGTTCAGAGACACGATCACTCAGTCAACAATCAAATATCCTCATTAATGTTCAGTAATGGTCCCAAATTATTTTGTGATTTACGAATAACGTCTATGGACTTGGGTTGTGAAAAATTGTGACTTTTAAAATATGGTTCCCCAGAAAAAAGGTTGGGAAACACTGGTCTAGAATAAGCAACCCTAGATGACATAGATAGTGTTTTACATCAGATGCCCTTCGTCGGTTTACATAGTTTGTTTGTTTGTTGTTTCTACGTTTACTTGTGACACACGGACACGATTTTATTTTTTGTTGCTTTAAATAAAAATATCAGAAAGCCACATCAAAATAGTCAAATAATTGTGTTAATCTCACATAAATAAATGCTTGTATGTTTGTTTTGTCCACTAGGGGGAGACTGCAAAGAACCGAGCTGAGAAGGCCAAAGATCTGGAGCTGGCGGCCTGGCTGGACAACAAACAGCATGCACAGATGATCCAGAGGGAGGACCAGGAAACTGCCGTCTGAAACAATCTGAACCGGTCTCAACATAAAACAACTGGCACATACTGGACTGAACGGGACTCGAGTGTTATGAACTGAAGAAAACTGCTGTCTGAACTGGAATCAACTGGTCCAGACTGGTTTAAACGGGAATCAAAAGAACTATGAACTAGAGTGAACTGCTGTCTAAACTGGAACCATCTAGTCTGAACCGGAATGGACTCGTCTGAACTGGTTTGAACCGGATTGTGCTGCTGTATGAGCTAGAATTAACTGGTCTAAACTGGTATGAACTGGTCTGAACTTGTCTGAACTTGTATGAACTGATCTGAACTGGTTTGAACTGGATTGTGCTGCTGTATGAGCTAGAATTAACTGGTCTGAACTTGTATGAACTTGTATGAACTGGTCTGAACCAGATTGTGCTGCTGTATGAGCAAGAATTAACCGGTCTAAACTGGAATTTACTGGAATGAACTAAACCAGGATTATAACTGGACTAAACCAATAAACCCATAGACTGAACAGTATATTAAAGTCATTATTAAATGTAACTTTGACTATTTAAATGTGACCAAATGTTAAGACTTGATTTAGTTTTAGTTGAATGAAATTGCATGCTTACTTCTGTACCACAATGTTATTTTTTTACTATATTCCTGTATGTTAAAAAATACAAAGTAGTTCATATAGATGAAGAAAATATCTAGTTTTGCGTAAAATGCCCAAAAGTGCTCTTATCTGAGGAAAGAGAATTTGATTTTGAATTTTGATTTGAATGATTTCTACACATATTCACTCTTCATTTAGACGCATATTTACATAAAAAAAAAAAAATTTACTCTTTTTTAAATATATACAATTAACTGCCTTAAATTCACGTGAGGGAGCAAAATCTTTCATTCTCTCTTGGCTGTTTTATTCCTTTAAAAGAATATAATTATTCCAGTGCATGCTATTTTACACAAATTAACTGTGATTTAAATAAATGTTATAAGCTGATGAGCAACTGATTAATTGTGAAATGTGAAAATGTTAAGCCAGTTTATTTTTCAGCCAGTGATTTTGTTTTGTGATTTTGATCAATATACATTTTTAATGTACTTCATAAAAACATGTGAAGCTTGTTTACCTGGAGCACACACGGCCTGCTCTCCTCTAACAATAAACCTGTTCTCCTTTTTAAATAAAATATACAAAAACTGTCTTTTTCTTTTGTCATTTGTCACTTTCCTCTTGTTATGCACTGATATTCTTATCTAGTTCAGCCGTGTGATATAACTTGATTTGTGATGATTTAAATGAAGGTTTTGGTTCATTTTAGTCATAATCTTTAAGTGTGATTTTAACAGTGTTGGGGAGTAACAGATTACATGTACCACCATTATATAATCAGAGTACAAATTATGAGTAACTCTATTCGGTGAGTGGTTATTGGATTACAGTTACTTGTTGAAATAAATGGGTTACATGGCGGTATTTTCCTGTTTTCACATTTTGGGCTAAACCAGGTCTAAAACCAGGACTAAAACCAGGATTAAAAGCAGGGCTAGAATCAGGACTAAACTAGGACTAGACCAGGACTAAAACCAGAACTAAACCAGGACTAAACTAGGACTAAAACCAGAACTAAACCAGGACTAAACAGTATGACACTAACAGTAGGTGGACATAATTTAAAGCAGCAGTGATCTCATATAGAAATCATTTCTCTATCAATAATATTTTGTTAAGTAAAGACAGGGCTTTTTCTTATCTTTTATCAGACAAAATATCTTATGTTAAGATCCTCGTCTTAGTTTCTCTACAACAAACAAAAGTCTGTTCATGGAGACTTGGGCTCAACAGACAATTTGATGAAACAAACAAGAATTTTCAGGATGTGGTTTCTACAGTAGTAGTTTTACAAAACATGACAATACCAAGTAATTCAAAGTACTCAGATTACATTACTCACTTTAAGTAATTTAATGGATTACATTACAAACTACATTTTGGGATATGTAATCTGTAATCTGTAGGGGAATACATTTTAAAAGTAACCTCCCCAACACTGGATTTTAAGCAGCAAAAACTGTTATGGTTTGGCAAGAGGGACCCCAAAGCAGAGCTGGGACTCAGTCAAGTTTTAAACAGTTTATTTTCCAAAAAAGAGGCAGGCTGAGGAGGCAGGGAGCTGGCCGACTTTTCCAGAGGCTATGGCAGACGACCACGGAGACACCTGGGCAAAAGCAGAAGCAGGTACATCCAAGAAGAACATCGAAGCAGCAAGTAAAACGAATATATTTCCAAGAGCCTGACAGAGCACTACAGAACAGGACAGAATTATCTGGCAGAGTCGGTGGTGAGAAGACCAGGGCTGAGTACAGAGGCTGAAGAAGGAATTGATTGCAGGTGTGTCTCATTTGCTCTGGGAGAAGCCACGCCCCCTGCCACACTCAAGCTCTGCAAAACAAAGAGGGAGGGGGAGAAAACACAAAAAAACAGAAAACTCTTCAAACTGGTCACCACGCATGCTTTACTTCAAGGGACAGTTCAGAATTGTGGACATAGGACCTCATTTCCTAGTGATCCAGAGTGTTGGAGACGTGTGGAGACACTTTTTGAAATATTTTGTTTGTGTTGACCCAGTCCATCACAGTGTGTTACGGCCACTGCTCAGCTCAGGACAGGACAGATCTGCAGCAGAGAAGATCACTGGATGTGACTTTACACCCATCAGTGACATTTATGAGCGTTGTAGAAGACGGACCTCCAGGATCATGGGGGACCCCTCACACCCTCCACCACCTGTTTGTCCCTCTGCCTCTGGGAGGAGACTGAGGAGCATTAAAGCCAGAACATCTCAGCTGAAGTTCAGCTTCTTTCCTGAGACTGTCAGACTTTTGAACAGTGCACACTGACTTCCTGCTTGGGCTGCCTCTCTATCTTGCCACGTTTTTTTACTACTGTGTTCATTGGAACTGCTAAATGTTGTTGTTTTGAATGTATTTACTTTTTAACATTGCTTATTTATTATTATCTCTTTCTGGATCACTGGGCCTTGGGGAGCACATTTTGTTCTGTCATGTGTTTCTAACGCATGTTTGAATGACAAATAAAGAACCTTGAACCTTGAAATTTGAATTTTATCCAGTCCTTGTATTTACAGAGGTCACTGGTGTTAGACTAGTGCATGTCAATGGCCATAGTTCTCCTGCCACTAAAAACAGTCTTACCCACTCCACAAAACACCCCAAACAAATCTATTATTACACCAGACTGTCCATGTGAATGTCTGTGTTGATAGAAACATTTTAGAAGTAAAACCATCCTTGCATTGTGTGAATCGTCGCATGGTGAGGGACTATTTTCTCATATATCAGTCCGCTGCTTCCGACCTTTCTATCAGGAAGTACAACTCACTGTTACTGCTCACACAGAAATCCTTCAAATACAAGGTTGGTTTAACTTCTACAATTATTCTATCAACACAGACATTCACATGGACAGTCTGGTGTAATAATAGATTTGTTTGGGGTGTTTTGTGGAGTGGGTAAGACTGTTTTTAGTGGCAGGAGAACTATGGCCATTGACATGCACTAGTCTAACACCAGTGACCTCTGCAAATACAAGGACTGGATGGAAGATTTCAAAAAGTCTCTTCACACATAGGAGAGGACGATATCTCAATATTTTAAATATATCGAGATATTTTTAAAACTCGATATGGATTCTGACATATTGTATCAATATAATGCTTATATAATTCTGATTTCACTGCTTTCCTTGTTTGCCTTCTCTGTGCGTGGCCCCGCCTCCCTGGTTTTGCTGCTTGTGTCTCATTCACTCGTCACTATCACCGCAAACGTCCAAAATTAGTACCAGTGAAAAACTTCTAGCACCACGAAACTTTTCCACCATTTACAGACAAAACCATCAGCAGCACATCCTCTGTCACAGAGAGAACACTCATATTCCACTGAGTCGTGTCCTTTAGTCCGACCGAAGCTGAACCACATCAGCGACACAAGGAAAGAGCTGTTTATGCAAATGATCCACGTGGTTTTAAGTTTAGTTTCTGTAAAACATAAACAAATGTGTCAAAACTGCATTAAACACATGATAATGTCAAACAGGCTGATGTGGATCTAGAGTCGTTATGTTTATATGTTGTAAAGGTTTGTAATGTAAAAGTTAAATTATGCAGAATTAATAATCTGTTGCAGTGTCACTTGTACAATAGTGTTTGGAAACGTTGGGTTTGATCTGCAGTGGATTGTGTGTTTTATTTATGAATGAAAAGAAGGAAATGTGTATTATTTCTTTTATTTTACAGTAAAATTATTATTTATGTAATTAGGGATTTTTTGTAATCTTAAATGTGGCAGAAGCTCTTTGTTCCTACATGAACTGCCGACCTCTTGCACTTCAGTAAAAAAAAAAGACCTTGTGGAATTTAACAGATTTGTTTTTTGCAGGAGTTTTTGGGAGGTTATTTTTCCTGTACAGATATCAACATATATATCATATATCGAGATATAGCAAAATATATCAAGATATATTTTTTGCTTCATATCCACACGTCTCTGGATCATGAGGAAATGGTGGGTTTTGGACAGGTCCTATGTCCAAAATTCCAGACTGTCCCTTTAAAGCCGCACTAGGTAACATTTAGCCAACATAATAAAGCTGTTATTGTTTTTGTTCAGTTTATTGGTGGAAACCGTCTCCACCAGAACCTCCACAGCAGTGAAGAGGAGGAGGAGGAGATGAACAGGCTGCTGCTTCTGCTGCTGTGGAGAGCAGACTGCGAAAAAAACAGAGAAGAGTTTTTCTTTTTTCTTTTTCATTTCTTCTTATTTTTGTTATTAGTGTTTTTATTTATTTTTGGTTTATTTTTATTTATTTTACAATTTTGGGGATTTTTCATTTTTTTATTATTAGTTTTTATTTGCAATTTACTTTTATGTATGTATTTATTTATTTTACAATTTGTGGCTCCAAGAACAGGAATAATAATACAAATACATGAAACTGAAGCCTTTATTTTATCGGGAGCACTTGCAGGTATAAATGCCGTTTGTGTTGTTGCTCCAGTTTTCATGTTAACATTCACAGCAGGAGTGTGGACGTTCTGAGCCGCACATTCGGTGTCGTGTGAAAGATGGACTCCCCGATGGAAATGTCAACTCCTTCAGCTTGTCTCCTGTGACCTTTGTGAGTCCTGTCTGCTCCTCCTCCACCACCACTCCTCATCCTGTATTCATCTCTCACTCAGGGTACTACTGCTACTACTACTACTACTACTACTACTACTACTACTACTACTACTACTACTACTACTACTACTACTACTACTACTACTACTACTACTACTGCTACTACTACTACTACTACTACTACTGCACAAGTACATCAACTACAGAGACAGTAAACTCACCAGGCTACTCAAGGTACTACTTCTACTAATACTACTAATACTACTACTACTACAACACAAGTACATCAACTACAGAGACAGTAAACTCACCAGGCTACTTAAGGTACTACAAATACTACTACTACTACACAAATTCATCAACTACAGAGACAGTAAACTCACCAGACTACTCAAGGTACTACTACCACTACTACTGAAAAAAAAAGCCTACGGTATTGTCTTGTACATATAATGGCAATTCACTTTAAGAGAATAATCATTCAATTAGGTCCTGGTCCATGTGTGGTTTTACTTGTAGCCTAAAACAGTGATTCTCAACCACTGTGCCGCGGCACACTAGTGTGCCGTGAGAGATCGTCAGGTGTGCCGTGAGAAATTATCCAATATCACTTTTTTTAAAATAAAAATTTATTAATTATTACCTGCAAATATTATGTCATTGTCGAGTGTCCGTGCTGTAGTACAGTGGAGTATATAATGACTGGCAGAGTGATCTAATATTCGTCCGGGTGGCAACAGGCAGCTAATTGCCTCGTTCCTTTAAATCAGGGGTGCTCAATATGTCGATCCCGATCTACCAGTCGATCGCCAAGGTAGTGTGGGTAGATCACCATGTCTCGTCTCGGACTGGCGTTTGGACTCGGTCTTGTCTCTCACTCGAGGTCTGACACTCAACAAGTGTGATCATATTTCATTACAGCCGCTGCTGTTGGTAATAAACTTGTAGCGGGTGCAGGAGCGTGTGGGGCGTCTCAGTGCAGCCTGTGCGCTCATTTGAAACCC